CACACACCACCTCCAAGGAAAAAAAAAGAAAGAGAATTTTCCGATTGGGAGCAAATCCCATCAACTTGGGGCCATGACAATTTCCGGGTCATTTCCGACAATCATGACGTGGGATTCAAAGGGAAACATGAGAATTAGATTTTTATCTAACTCAGATGCTGGACAGGGCATGGATGTTACCGCAGTATCAGCTCCGATTCCGGCTGACGATAGCCTCAATCATGCCCAAGGTGTTTTCCCGGCGATTGACGATGTAGAATCACGTGTTCTTTCATTGTCCACGCTTCGCAGTGGAAAGGGAAGAATTCACAGACTCCTCAAGAGGAAGTGACCCCTGAGACATCCGTCACTAGGATGCTGCTGACCACAAGAGAAATTGAGTGCGGTAGCCCCTATGCCGCAAAGGTCTGAAGACGCTCCGTCTCCCGAGGAGCAGTTTACGAAAGAGACTTCCCGTAATATTTCGGTGACGTGCGAAAAGGCCCATCCTTCCTTCTCTCGGCGATGCAATGCCTGACGGCGGTTTCGGGGAAGAAATAGGAGGAAGGGAGGGGTTTTTAGTTGGGGTAGGGCATAGGCTGCTATGAACCCACCGAGCGGGTTGCGGGCCCGCTGTGTCTTTAGAAGATTTTCCCCTGCCCACGTAAAAAAATAAAAAAATACACCCAGACCCACACAGACACACACATACACACGACATACACCACATACACAAACATACACAAAATACATACTACATATATATTATTATATATATTATTATATATATATATATATATATATATGGAACAGGCGGAGGACTAAGCATGGATTTTCAATTGTTTAACTGCGGTGGAGATAGGATGGCGCTCTGGCGCTCGGCAGCGAAGAACTTCCTGAAGGGTGAGCTTAGATTACAGCAGTTTTTTCCCAGAGTTCCTCCACCATCAGTCTAGCCTAACGGTGACGTCACGGCCTGGGTGTTTGCTATTGGCTAGCTAAGACTAGCATCGACGTCACTCTTTGCCAAAGCACGTGTGTCATGCGATCCACGTAGTTGCTTGTCAAGTATGATTTGTGTTGCAAGCACGGCGCGTCGTGCGATTCTATGTTTTTTCAGATCGTTTATATCAAGCTGGAGGTGGGAATTCAAATCGAAATATTTAAGTTTATCCTGGAACGCCCTTTTGAATGTAGTAACGGCAAACAACGGATGGAAGCGTTCGCTAAACCGCGCTACACGGAACGGAAGTAGAGAACGTTGGAAAAGTCGCAGGTCAAGAGTGGCTGGCCAATAGCAAACATCCAGCCGTGACGTCACCGTTAGGCTAGATTGATGGTGGGGGAACTCTGCGAAAATGCTGTGATTCGAAGCTTTCCCGTGATTGATTCTGTGATTTCTAAGCTTTCACTACACGTTGCACCTGCACATCACGCACTGTTCCACAGAGCTAAGTTACTTTTTTTGTTAGCAATGCAGAAAAACCATACCTGCACTTCGTTTACTGATGCAAATAAGTTTTCTATACCTCGGGAACGAAAATGTCTAGTTTTTTTCAAGAATTGCTAATCTCGCGCTTTTTAAAATTTTTTATTTATTTATTTTAAACCTTTTCTCATCTTTCAACTATTTCTAGTTAAAATGATGGGAAGGGATTCTGGAACTCAAGAAAACGTGCGCAGTTATCTTCTCCCTCATACGTCACATACAGTTTTTACTGTTTTTTGACTAAATAAAACTAAATAATTAATTTTGTTTATTAGCGTACCCATGCGAGAACTCACGCATGTTAAACCCCACCTTTTACCTCGATTCTTCCATTTTCATATTAAGCCCGTAAATATCTTTTTCTTCAAGCCTCTCTGATCTCAGTCCTTGTTCTATGTAGCTCTTTGTAATTATAGTAATTGATCGTATCTTAAGATAACGGGACAATGCACCAGTGTCAATATAAACTTTATTTCCAAACAGTGGTACAGCCGTGCAATTCAAACGCATTGAATATCAAGTAATTAGTTTGATTTCACAAACAGATGCAGATTCTGCACATCTCTGAACAGGTGGGGTAGAATCGAAACGGCGCCCTGTAATAGAAGGTCCTAGATGATCTCATCCTGTAAACTACGGTGTTACTTTGGTGCCCTTTATCTCAAAATTCCAGATTTTAAGGCCTTAGAACACTTTGTTTTGGCTCGTGGCTCGGTTGCTCGCTTTCCACTACGCGGCTCCAGGTTCGAATCCCGGTCCAGCCAACTCAGTGTGCGTTTTGCCTTGCAATGTCTCTGTATATGTTGCTGTGTGACGATGAGAAAATTCACTTCTCAGGTGGAAAAGAACGGAATACGGCTTGTTGAAGAACGGTGGGGATGTTTACGTGCTAACCACACGTACCCTCTTAACCCATGACCGAGAGGCAGGGACGTCACCGGTAGGCCTGAGCCTGTTCACGGGCTGTCGCGCCAAGTACATAATATACGTACAAAACACTATTGAAGTTATATAACTGTATCGATTTTAACAACACTGACAGAGTGTCGCGAGTTGACATGAATATTTAGATGCGTTTTTCTCAACAAATCTTTTATATCTTTTAAGTACAATTCATCAAGTCTCCATGAAATTATCTTTCTTTTGAGACCTCAAGTATAAAGATTGGCTGCGCGTGAGAGCAACAAAACTCATCTATACAGCTGAAATAATGTAGGAGAAGATAATTTAGACTCAGAGTACTGATTTATATTGCGTTCTGTAAACATGAACAACTTCGAGACTACAGCCATTTTGACCGCTTAATTAATCTCTTTAATCAAACTCTTGCGAGTAATTTGGAGGGACGGGGTTTCTCACTCATCTCTTTGATATTTTTGTAGTTTAGAACGAATGCTTCAAAAGTCCTTTGAGACAGAGTAGAGAAAAGTTGAAGCTCTGAACGTAATTCCGGTCGAGTGGTCAGAGCGGAATCCCCACGGAAGGCGCTGAAGGTATATTACATTTTCTAAAAAAGAGAAATTAAGAAAATTCATTTTTTGTTTTTAATTGAGTCATAACATTTGAAATGTTCTCTTTAGGAATACGGCAACACCTGTACTTTTCTGCAGTCGTTTGTTTTGTTAATATTTCGATTTTTATTAATCTTGCGTTAGAGTCGTGCTTTATTCGAGCCGGA